CTGCGCCCCTTGGCTCGGTGCCGTGGCTGGAACTTGGTCTTGGCCCGGGGGTCAAAGCCCTGGGGGTCCAGAGAAAGAAAGGAGTGAGCAACCAATGCCCTGTCTCCCACCAGCCTCTCACAGAGCTTCATGGCGCTGCCCCCAGCCCCACCCTCTGCCCCCAGCGACCCACAGCACAGATCCACCCCCACAGGTACTCACCAACCGCTCCACCTGCTCCTGGTGCTTCTGCTCCATGCTAATGGTGTCGACTTGGCCCAGCTGCTCAGGGTCTAGTGTGATCAGCTCTGCTGGGATCTGCCAGGGGGACACGGGGAAGTCAATGGGACCCACTTCCCCCTTGCTATGCACGTCCCCCACCAGGCTTGGGATTGTTCCTGCCCATGGCATCACCCCTGCATATTCCAAGGCAGAAGCCCCTACCCTGCTGAGTCCTCCTTGCCACCCCCTTGTGTCCAGGACATTACCTTCTCCAGCAGAGCTTTGACTTCCCACTCCTGCCGCTGCTTCCGGCTCCGGAATGGGTTGTTTTCCAGCGCATCGAAATTCGCCTCCCCGCTCCCTGGCACATGGAGGGGAGGATACAGGGTATGAGGGGAATGCAGGGGGTGCTGGCAGGGGGTCCTTATCCAGCATGAGGAGAGTGGTGAAGTTGGGGGGGGGGGCTGCAGGGTGGTCCTTACCTGGCACAAGGAGGCTGGTAAAGCCAGCGCCATGGCCCACACCCAGCACGTCCTCAAAAGGGCAGAAGCGCAGGCCGTGGGCCGGCCGGGGCAGCACATGCTGCAGGTGGGGCTTGCGTGGCTGCTGCCATGACACATCATGATATACCTGGGGTGGCACACAGGGTGTGGGGAAGTGTTAGCATCCACTGGGAAGGAGAACAGTGCCCAGGTGGGGGCACGGGGGGGGGCTGGTACCTGGACAATATTGCCACTGGTGGCAGCCAGGAGCCCGCGCTGGCTATAGGCGAGGTGGGCAGCACCTGTGGGCAGCACCAATGCATGCAGCGGCCGGTACGTGCGCAAGTCGAACACGCGCAGCTGCCGGTCCAGCCCCGCCGTCGCCATGTACCTGTGGGGAAGAGGCAGGGGGTCACAGCCAGCCCAGCTCAGCAACGAGGCCCTGATGACCCCGGCCCTGCCAAGGTCTAAAGCAGAGGCCGGATCCCACTGCAGAAAGGGAGAACCCGCCGCCCGCCCACTGAATCTGTACCCCTCTGACCTGGGGGGAAATTCCTTCCCAACCCCAATGCAGCACTAAGCTGACCTTGGCGCAGGGGCAAGACCCTTTAGCTAGAAGCCCCCAGGGTTGAGTCCCAGCAGGAGCATTGGCACAGCGCAGTCACCATCCCTAGCCTGGGCTATATCCAACATCCATCGCCTCTGGGGAAGGGGGTAAAAAACCCCTGACATACAGCAACAGGGGAGGAAAAAAAAAATCCCTTCCCAAAGCCCCAAAGCCCAGGAAATCCCCATTGCAGGACATGGGCACGGCTATGCCTAGATCATCCCCAAGCAGTGGTTGTCTAGGCTCTCCTTGAACACCTCCAGCAATGGGGAGTCCACAGCATCCCTGGCATCCCTTCCACAGCTTTCCTGCTCTAACAAGGAAGAAACATATCCAGATCTCCAATCTAAACCGACTCAGCAGCAACCTCAAGCCATTGGTCCACGTCCTCCTCTCTGCAGCAGGAAATGAGGTGCTTCCCCTCTCCTTTTCAGCAGCCCTTTGAGGATATGCAGGCCCCTCTTCAGTGCTTTTGGCCCAGCTCCTTTAGCCTCTCCTCATAGGATTTGCCTTCCAAGCCCCAATCATCTCTGCTGTCTGCCTCTAGACCCTCTTGAACTTCTCCATGGCTTTCTTAAAACATGGAGCCCAGAACTAATCACAGTGCTGTAGGTAAGGCCCAACCAGGGCTGAGCAGAGAAGTGCCATCATCTCTCGCGTCTGACACAGGATGTTCCCATCTGTCCGGGGCCTTTCCTCCCGCTGTGGTTCATTTATGACCTTTCCCTTTTATCTCTGCCCCTGATTCTCCAGGCTGCAGTTCCCCAGCTCAGCCTTTCTACCTTTTTCACAGCAGGTGCCAAGCTGGCCCTCTCCCCATCCTCCAGGACCTCCATAACTAGGTAAATAATTTGACCAAGGTGATGAAATCCCCCTCCCACTTCCTTCAGCCCCTCCCATCCCTTCTGGGGATCTCCCCCACAAACCATGACCCTAACTGTCCCAGGCCCCCAGGCATGAAGTCTGGGCTGCCCCCAGTCACTCACGTGCCAGTGCGGTCCACAGCCAGAGCCCGCATGGCCCCGCGGTGACACAACATCTTCACCAGCGGCTCCTTAACAGTGGGACTCCACAGTGTCACTGTGCCTGGGGGGCACAGCACAAGGGATTAATGAAGCCTATCCTGTATTCCCCACCCCACCACAATACCAGGGAGACAGCCAGCAGCTCCCTGCGTTGGCCAGGGGCTCCAGGCCTGGCAAGGGGAAAGCAAGGCACATATGCACATGTATACGTGCATGTGCACGAGTGTCCGAGCCGGGGGGGGGGACGACGACACGACGGACGACAACGACACCATGTGAGCAGCAAACTGGGGTGGTGGGCTTTCGGGAGCCCTGCAGGTGGGGGAGGAAGGGGTGTCTCTCACCATTGCTGTGTCCCAGGTGAATGATGGCATTGGCTGGATTCTGCCCCATCACGCCCAGGCGCCCCCCTCGGGTGCAGATCGTGGCCACTTCCTTCCCCACCGAGAAGTCCAGGTACTGCAGGAATCCCGTCTCGCTCTGGGGGAGATGGACATGGGTCAGCTCAGCATGGAGTCCCTTCTCCACCCCAAACACAGCCCTCGCCCCCGGCCCACAGCTGGGGTGATGTGGGGGGCGGGCAGTCACTGAGACATGGACAGGCCCAGCACTCCCTAAGTGGCAGAAATCCCAGCCAGGAGCCTAGGCATCTGGGCCCTTCCCCAACCCTCGAGCCTGTGCTCACAGCAGTGGCTAGCAGGAAGTGGTAGGGCAGCAGCTCCATGCGCAGGACACTGTGGAAACGCCGCAGGCAGTTCAGCTCCACGCCCTGGTTGTCGTAGACGTACAGCCAGCGCCGCTGCGCCACCGCCAACAATGTCTCTGTATGCAGCCACCTGCAGGAGAGGGGGTCATACGTACGGGACACATGTGCCACAGGCACTGCCCGACAGCCTAAGCCATCCTGCTTCCCTGTGCTTCCTGGGAACCATGTTGCCCTGCCCCTCCGTCCCATACATGTGTGTCTAGGTGTGTGCCACACTCACGCTACATCAGTGATGCTCTCCATGACGTTGATCTCACACAGCAGGGTCTTGCTCTGCCAGTCCAGTGCTGCAACATGCCCATGCCGGCCACCCAGCAGCAGGTGCCTGGGATTGGGGCGGGGGAGCAGAGGTGAGAGAGCATCATCCTACAACCCCTCCCGCCCAGCAGGGAGACCTCCAGCCTGATGCCACCCCCCCCAATATTACCTCAAGCCCCCCTCCCCACCCCACTCACCGGCCAGGGCGGGTGTAGTCCACTCGGTAAGGCCCAAACTGTTCTAGTGTCAGCTCAAAATGCTGCAGGAAAGTTGGGGAAGGAAATGTGGTTACACAGACCCCCCATGCTCCCCACCTCCAAGGCAGTTCATCCCCTCCCCTCAGCACACTGCCTCTGACCTTGGCAGCACTTGCGATGTCCACGGCTTCAGCAATGTCAGCCTGGGCAATGGTACAGGTATCCTCACCGGGCTCTGCCTCCAGGAAACTGCATGGCGGGGGACATGGAGATCACAGCCTAAGTGGGGGGGTACAGAGGATGTCGAGGTGGGGGATGGGGGTGGGCGGCTTGTAAGACAGGAAGAGCCCACATGTTGCCCTTCCCACACCCACCTAATGTGATCCCAAGCGTCTGCCTGAGCTTCACAGGGTTCCCATCCCTGCAGCTGCTCCC